ATGGAAACAGATTACCAAGCCAGTCTTTCGAAACTCCATTGGGTGGGTTCAAATCACCAACTTGTATGATTTTATGGGAACTTTATCAAACATTATGTCCTTCTTCTGTGACTAGTTCCTCCTGATAATGTATCCAAAGTATGAGAGACTAAGTCTTGCCCTCCTGGCTTCTAAGGAACATACTTCTTCTAACAGATTTGTTTGTTCTTTTAGGAATCCATGGTCCTCTTAATATTCTTCTCCAATACCATAACTCAAACACATCAATTTTTGCTAGAGTCTTCCTAGACCTAGACCTTCATTGTCCAACTTTCTCATGTATATGAGGTTATTGAAAATATCATGCTTTGGGTAAGATGTACCTAAGTCCTCAAACTGACATCTTTGCTCTTGAATACTTTTAAGAGGTCTTGTGCAGCCGATTTGCCTAATACAATGCATTGTTTGATTTCTTGACTGCTGCTTCCTTGAGTGTTGATTCTAGATCCAAGAAAAATGAAGTCTTTGACAACTTCAGTGTTCCCTCCATTTACCATGTTGTTACTATTTTGCCCAATTAGGAGTTTTTTTTTTTACAATGAGGTTCAATTCATACTGAAGGTTGTATTCTGTGATCTATATCAGTGTTTTAAGTCATTTCCTGCTTCTAGCAAGCAAGATTGCATCATCTGCATATTGCAAGTTGTTATGAGTTCTCCTCTAATCCTGATGTTATATCCTTCTTCATATAATTCAGTTTTTCAAATTATTTGCTCAGCATTCAGATTGAAAAATATGATGAAAGAATACAGCCTTGGCACACACCTTTCCTGGCTTAAAATCATTCAGTATCTTCTTGTTCTGTTTGAACAACTTCCTCTTGATATAAGTACAGGTTCCTCATGAGCACAATTAAGTGTTCCTGAATGCCCATTCTTTGCAATGTTATCAATAGCTTGTCATGATCCACAAAGTCAAAAGCCTTTTCATAGTCAATAAAGTGCAAGTAAGCATCTTTCTGGTATTCTCTTTTTCAGCCAAGATTCATCTGACATCAGCAATGACATTCCTAGTTCCACATCGTCTTCTGAAACCAACTGGAATTTGTGGCAGTTCCCTGTTGATGTACCATTGCAGCCATTGTTTAATTTTCTTCAATAAAATTTTACTTGCATTGGTATCAATGACTTCCACATTCTATTGCATCACCTCTGTTTGCAATGGACACAGATATGAGTCTCTTCCAATCAGCTGGCCAAGTAGCTGTCTTTCAAATTTTTTTGGCACATATGAGTGAGTGCTTCCAGCACTTCATCAATCTGTTTTTGCCAATATCTTAAGTGCAGCTTGGACTTCTTTTAGTATCACTGATTCTTGATCATATTCTATCTCTTATAAAGGTTGAATATTGACCAGCTCTTTTTGGTACAGTGATTCTATGTATTCCTTCCATCTTCTTTTGATTCTTCCTGCATTACTCAATATTTTGCTCATGGAATACCTAAGTACTGCAAGCTGAGGCTTGAATTTTTTCTTCAGCTCTTTCAACTTGAGAAATGCTGAGTGTGTTCCTCCTTTTTGGTGTCTTACTCCAGGTCTTTGCACATTTCATTATAAGACTTGATTTTGTCTTCTCTAGCTTCCCTTTGAAATTTTCTGTTCAGCTCTTTTGCTTCTTCAGTTCTTCCGTTTACTTTAGCTCTGATAGCGTGGTGGTTACGAATCGGGCTGCGAACCTAAAGGTCAGCAGTTCGAAACTACTACCAGCCACTCCGTGGGAGTAAGATGAGGCTTTCTGCTCCCGTAAAGATTTACAGCCTTGGCAACCCTGTACAGGGTCGCTATGAGTCAGAACAGACTCCATGGAACACAACAACAACAACATCTATTCCCATGAGCAAGTTTTAGAGTCTCTCCTGATACCCATCTTGATCTTTTCTTTCTCTCCTATCATTTTAATGACCTCTTGATTTCTTTCTGTATGATGTTTTTGATGTCATCTCACAACTCTTGTGGTCTTCTGTCATTAGTGTCTAATGCATCAAATTTGTTCTTGAGGTGGTCTTTAAATTCATGTCGGATATATTCAAGGTCATACTTTTGCTCTCCGGTACTTGTTTTCTTTTTTGTCAGATTAAGCCTGAACTTGCATATGAACAGTTGATGGTCTGTTCCACAGTTGGTCCCTCACCTTGTTTTACACCATCTCTTCCCACAGATATTTTCAATATAATTCCTGTGTAGTCCATCTGGTGAGGTACTGGTGTACAATTGCCATTTATGTGGTTTAAAAAAAGATTTTTGCAATAAATAAGTCATTTCCCCTGCAAAATTGTGTCATGTGATCTCCAGCATCATTTCTATCACCAAGGCCATGTTTTCAAAATATAGGTCGTTCCTCTTTTTCCAGCCTTCACCTTCCAATTACCAGGAATTATTAATGTACCTTGATTGCATGTTTGATCAATTTCAGACTGGAGAAATTGGTAGAATTCTTCAATTTCATCATCACTGGCTTTAGTAGCTGGTGTACAAATTTGAATAATCGCAATATTAACTGGTCTTCTTTGTAAGTATATGATATTATCCTGTCACAGACAGCATGGTACTGAAAGGTCGATCCTGAAATGTTCTTTTTGGTGATGATTAATGCAATGCCATTCTTCAGTTTTTCATTCCTGACATAGTAAAACAAATATATGATTTTTGGATTCAAAATGGCCAATACCTGTCCATTTCAGCTCATGAATGCCTAGGATATCAATGTGCATTCCATTTCATATTTGCCAACTTTCAATTTTCCTAGGTTCCTATTTCTTACATTTCATATTCTGATTAACAATGTTTGCAGTTGTTTTTCTGCACTTTGAGTTGTGCTCTATCAGCCAATGAATGTCCTGAAAGCTTTACTCCATTCATTTCACTGTGGTAAACTCTACTTTGAGGAGGCAGCTCTTCCCCAGTCATATATTGAATGCCTTCCAACTTGAAGGGATCCTCTTTTGGCACTATATCTGACAAGGTTCTGCTCCTATTCATAAGGTTTTTAGAGGCTAAATGTTCAGAAGTAGCATGTCCCTCTGCCTTCCTACTCTTAGTCTGGAAGTTCCACTGAAATCTGTCTACTGTAGGTGACCCTCGCTGGTATTTAAAATACTGCTGGTACAGCATCACAGCAATATATAAGCCACCACAGTACTATGAACTGACAGATGAGAGGTAGAAAGAAGGGTTGTTATTGTTGTTAAGTGCTGTTGAGTCAGTTCCTGAATACGGTTTCTGAGGAGCAACTGGTGAGCTTGAACTGCCAACCTTGTGGTTCAAGCCACCTTTGCCGTCCAGCACATTAAGCCAGCACCACACCAGAACTTGAGAAGGAAGGATTAGAGTGGAGATAATAGTGTCTAACAGGAATGTTATGAGGATTGAAGTAAATGAAACAACATGTGCCCAACTGTTAAGTCATGAGAATTTGCTTCCTTTAATTCACAGAGGTCATCTTTTGCCTTTGGTTAGAGTCAAGACTACTTGTAATTCTCTTCATCTGGAGGGGTGAGTTGGATATTAGGATAGGAACACAGAATTCATCTAAAATTCATGAGTACACCCCCAGAGTCCAATTGTATGAATCTCCTTCCTTTCCTAAATTGACTTAATCCAGAAAAATTGAACTCTGGTGCCAAATGTTCCAGGAAGCATTTGTTTCCAAATTACCTGAAACAAATCTTGAAAGAAAAGTACATTTAAAAATCAATGGCAAGATTATAGGTTTTGTCCTACAAGACTTAAAGGAGAGTTAATAAATCTTCTAAATATTCAGATAGTCATTTAATAGACATTGATTAAGTAGAGGGTTGTGCTTTGAAATCATATCAAATTGAAGACAAATCCCTGCCCTAGGGAAGTTAATGAACTTGTTGGAGAGACCAAACTCATATGCATGAAATAACCACAGAACAGTTATAATAAACAGCAGGAAGGGCAACAGTGGGTCTTGAGCCACTGAGGAAAGACAGGATACAGAGTTTCCGTAAGGATTTAATATGCCGTTCTTGGAGACTTAGTATTGTGGTTTGACTGATTCAGAGAACACTATCATGTGAAGACAGAATTTAAATAAGTAAATAAACAAATAAGCTAGAATATTCACCTCCTATAGAAATCCAGGAATCCTGGTATGGCACTGTGGGATAAGCACTGGATTGCTTACCATTAGGTCAGCAGTTCAAATTTACCAGTTGCTCCTCAGAAACGCTATACAGGATCACTGTGAATCAGAACTGACTTGACTTACAAAATAACTACAACAAATAGAAATCTAAGAGCATTCTACAGTTGCTTTTTTACTTTTTGCAGTGAAGTATTCAAAGTCTTCAGTGTTTAGGCTGATTTGGTTTTAGAGACTCATCTATACTCTGTACCAGGCTGCTTCTGCTCTAATTCTTTCTTAGTCTATTGTATGGAATATCTTTATAAATCATCAATGACATAAAGAGTAAATGTTGCAGCTATAGACTTACCTCAAAAACTGAAGTATGGCAAGTAGATTCCTGTCATTTGGTTTAGGAAGAAATTTGTAAATCATGGTCTTCAAGGGGTGAATATGGGCCCTCTGTACCAGACATCTCCCATTGTCCCTTCCCACACGAAAGCTCCTCAAATTAAATAAGTAGAGAAGCAGAGCATCAATACCATTAAGTTAAAAACATGGAATTTATGGTTGAAAATTTGCAAAGCTTGTGTGGGCAACATAAAATAATTACTGTCATTTTCTTTGTATACACTTGGCTTTATGGTTCCTGTTACCTTCATCATAGCATGCTGCTGATTTAGAAGATGCATTTTTTCATAGCCAATGGCCTGGTATTATTACTTTTTTTTTTCTTGAGATGACAATATGTAGATAGACTAGCGTGTACCTACATTTAGATGATGAATTAAAATATATGGTTCTTGGTTTTGGCTTAGTCATGCTATTACCATGCCAACTGAGTTTTCTCCACTGCTTTTGCCCCTTCTAGATTCTAAAATCCAAAGATCTAACATCCCCAACCCAACGCTACATCGACAGCAAAGTTGTGAAGACACGAGCTGAAGGCGAATGGCTCTCCTTTGATGTCACTGACGCTGTTCATGAATGGCTTCACCATAAAGGTTACAAACCACCCTTCCTCCCTAAATGACAGTGTATTGATTGTACAAACACACACAACAATGACCTTGTCTTCATATTTTCAGACAGAAACTTGGGATTTAAAATAAGTTTGCACTGTCCTTGCTGTACCTTTGTACCATCCAACAATTACATCATCCCAAATAAAAGTGAAGAACTCGAAGCAAGATTTGCAGGTAATTAGAGCTTGGTCATATAAGGTGATGGAGAAAAGGGCACAGGTTAAATTTTGATAATCCCATAGGGGATAAAGTCGATTTGCATGTGAAAATGACATTGTTTGGGGAGACCTAGAGGGTTTTATTTGTTTGGGCAAAGATATGGCTGGAGGAGGAAAGATGAAGGCTGAAAGGATTCTAAGAAAAGGATCGATTCCTGGTTTATACTGATCAATGTTCAAGGATGACTTGGTCAGTATTAAACCTACTGACTTATTAACCCTCCAAATTATTAAATAGTCAGTAAGACCTTTTACTCTTCATTTAAGCAAACTGACTTTCCACCTCTAAATTCAGGATTATCCAATGGTAATCCCCAAACCTAGTGTCAGGAACACAGAACACAGATGCATATCACAGAAAGAAAGGAGCCGGCTCGCATCATGGCCTCTGTAATTACCTTACGTGTATTGAAACATTCCACCTTTTTTAGCGTGTCCCCAATATTTCAAGTGGCTTCCTCACCTTGCTCCCTTTTCAGTGAATTAGCCAAAAGTCAGGGAGATTCCAAGGGTGTTAAGTCGCTGTGCATATTCGATAATGAGCCCCTACGGCTGATGGGAGGTGAGAGGAAGTGGCTGGTGTAGTATCAGCCTTGCACTGTCATGTCAGGGAGCTAATTTCCTCCCCCTTAACAAACACCTTTGGGGACCTCTATCCACTTTCAGAAGACTTCAATGGCCCTTGCTCATGGAAAAATACTCCCAGAGGTCCAGAGATTGATTTCAGTCTGTAACTTCATCGTGACTCTCCAGTGTGTGGAGATGAAACACTTAAACTGCAATCTCTTGAGCATGCTTTGCAGAACTTGAGTTTCTGAGTCTAACATGGAATCTTAGAAAAGTGTTGAGGATGCCATAAAATAAGTGAAAAAGCCATTTCTTCACAAGCTTCCCAAAATAGCATTAGGTGAGGGGGACTTTTGTTTCACTTGAAACCAATTCACTCAGGTTATGTTCATTAGGGGAGTCTTTTGAGTTTAGCAGTCGTAGTAAGAGTGTAAACCAACAGGATGGCAAGGCATGTTCTATTGCTGTGCCTTCATTTGCTGAGGGGTAAACAGGAGCTCTGGTAGCGTAGTGGTTACGAATCGGGCTGTGAACCGCAAGGTCATCAGTTCGAAACTACCAGCGGTTCTGCGGGAGAAAGATGAGGCATTCTGCTCCAGTAAAGATTTACAGCCTCGGAAACCCTGTGCAGGGTCGCTATGAGTCGGAACCGACTCCACGGCACTTAACAACAACAACAAACAGAGTCTAAATTGAGGACTGACTCGAATAAACTGCCTCAGTTGCCTTTTTTCATGAGTCAGAATCAATTGGAGGGCAACTAACAGCCACACCAAGATTGCCCTTAGATTCTTAGCCTGCAGTGACTTTGAGACCCAGCAAGCCCTTGCTTTTACACTGACCTTCTTTCTGACAAGTGCCCCATGTAGAAGTGTTGGTTGTCACCTGTGGTAGTCCTTTTGTGCTGTATCTATTTCCATGGGGGGTATGACTATAGCCAGTTTGATGCTGTTGTGGTGGTCATCACTGCTATTTGTGACAATATGCAAAAGAAAAAAAAAATATGGCTGATGATATTTGCTGAAGATAAAGCTAAATGTTTATTACCCAAATGCATTTTTTTAAGGTATTGATGGCACCTCCACATATACCAGTGGTGATCAGAAAACTATAAAGTCCACTAGGAAAAAAAACAGTGGGAAGACCCCACATCTCCTGCTAATGTTATTGCCCTCCTACAGACTTGAGTCACAACAGTCCAACCGGCGGAAGAAGCGTGCCCTGGATGCCGCCTATTGCTTTAGGTAAAGGAAATCAAAATAAAGGAATTGTGTCTGTTAACTCTTGAACTGCCTTTGCCCTGTCTTGTGTTACATATTGACCTGGATTGAACTCATTGATTAAAGCCAGCTGTAGTATAGACTAGCTAACATATTTTATAGCATCGCTCTTCTCAGAGTCTTAAAACAGCTTATCTGAATTGGATTGATCAACTCTTTAAGGTCTTTGAGTGGAACAACTGGTTTGTACTCCACTACAAAATGAAAGATTGGAGGTTCGAGCCCACCTGCCACTTCCTCAGAAGACAAGCCCTGGTGATGTGCTTTCATGAAAAGATCATGACTTGGAAAACCATATAGAGCAATTCTACTCTATAACACATGGGGTCTATGGCAACTAACAACAGTCATTCGACTCTTTAGCAGTGACCCAAATATGAAGGGTGAGGGTGGGGAGTGGGGAAACAGCCCCTTGGATTTCTTCCCTAAATCTTTTGGGCCGAAGGAGAAAATGAACTATCTACTGCCCCAGTGCAGGTATGAAGAGCTTCCTTGCAGTGCATGATGGCAGCTCCCTGGTTAAGGCAGTGGAATTATCTGTATGAAGCTTTTGCCCTTCATTCAGAATGCCCTGGTCATTTCTCTTTCACAGTAACAGTAGACTATGAGAGCAGGGAGGGAACAGGTGAGAATTTATTTCCCATTCCATTGTGAGTACATGGTGGGAGGATGTTTGTCCATGGTTTCTTATCAAGTTTGGTAATAGGAAGACTTGTTATTTTGAGCATCATGGAGCAATGGGAGTTTCTTGGTGGTGTGAATGGTTGACATGTTCAGCCGCTAGCCCCAAGGTTGGAGGTTTGAGTTTACCCAAAGATGCCTCCGAAAACGTCTTGTGAGCTACTTCTGGGAAATTATCTTTTGAAAAACCCATGAAGCACCGCTCTGCTCTGACACACTTAGGGAGGCCGTGAGTCAGAATTAACTCAGTGGCAAATGCTGTGGGATATGGGAATTGATCACTGTCAGGTGCCCATGTCTGATTGCTTAGTGGTTGTTCTCAGAAAGAAAAAGGCTTGAGATAAGTCTTGGAAAAGATTTTCTATATGAAGGTATAATAGAGGCCCCATGGCAAAACTGCCTAGCGTTGGTTGAAAAGGACTTGATCTCTTCCAGCCAACTCTGTTGGTACTTGGTTATTTGAGGGTAAAGGTTTGACATTCAAGGTCTCAGACAAGGACATTGAGGTATACAGCACATGATGGAAGGTAATTCAGAAAATCACTATAATACCCCACCATGTGAAAGTCACTTGAGATTACATGAAGACCATTAAAACTAGGCCCACAATATATGCTTATTAGGTGATGGTTGAATAAGCGAACAAGTCATTTTTCCAGTTTGGGATGGGTGAAAAACCAAGTTTAAAATCTCCTTTTTCTCCCCTTTAACAGAAATGTGCAGGATAATTGCTGCCTACGTCCACTTTACATTGATTTCAAGAGAGATCTTGGGTGGAAATGGATACATGAACCTAAAGGGTACAATGCTAACTTCTGTGCTGGCGCGTGCCCGTATTTGTGGAGTTCAGACACTCAACACAGTAGGGTAAGTATTTGACTAACTTGTCCCTTCTATTCTAGGGTTGCTAAAATGGGCCTGTTGATAGGATTTCCAAATGAATTAGCTGTAGATCGATTAGAAAGTAACACAAATTAATTGAAAACAGTAGGTCTTTCCAATTAGATTTAGATTTTAAGCAACTTGAGAGCAGTTTTTCTTAACTTCTGTCCCCTGCCATGCTTTATATACTTAACACCTACAGGAGTCCTGATGTGATGCTGTAGGATGAGCACTGGACTGCAAAGGCATTTTACAACAAGTTCGGCAGTTGAAACTCATCAGCCACTCCTTAGAAACCATATACAAAGCCGCTATCAGTCAGAACAGGCTCAACAGAACTTAATAACAACAACAAGCATAAATAGGTAGTCCAAAAAACCCTAAAAAACTTTGGTAATGAATTAATAAATTGCATAGTGTCCTGTGGAATCCTGGTGTGGCACTGGGTTAATGCACTGGGCTGCAAGGTCAGTTTGAACCACAAGGTCATCGGGTCAAACCCATCAGCCACTCCTCGGAAACCTTATACAGGATTGCTATGAGTTGGAACCGACTTAATGGCACACAGCTACAACAACAAATAGTGTCATGTACAGATAAGATGTGAAAGAGAGTAGGTTCTCATTTTTAAAAAAAGAAAAAGATTTATTCCTCTATACTAATCTGTCATATTAGAAAGAGCATGGAGTACTTAAATTGATCCTTTGGCTTAGGAATTTACTGTTATGGCTGTTGGTAAGGGTTATTGAACCAGTTCCAACACATAGTGACTCTAGAGAGGTTTCCGAGGAGGAGCTGGTAGGTTTGAACCACTGGCTTTATGGTTAGCAGTCCAGTGCTTAGCCTACAGGACACACTAGGACTCCAGGGATTTACTAGTACATGACAATTTAGAAAGCCAGTTAACATCCTTGAGGTTCAATTTCTTGTCAGGAGAAAGAAATGTGTATATTAAAAATTATCTTCAAAACAGTAATGCTAAACCTGCAAATTGTTGTGAAAAGTACAAAGATGATAGACAGATAGGTAGGCAGTGGTCTTCTTCAATAATTTGAAAATTAGTTTCTCTAAATATTTTTAAATATAGGCCAAAGTAAATGAGAATCTGAATATTTTAATGAGTTGCTTAAATCAGAATAGAGGGCTAATTCTGAAGCAGGTCGATGATTGAATACTACAGGTTTCCAGCCCAGACCAGCAAAGACTTGCTCTGTGTAATAATGAGGGAGCCCTTGTGTTGCAGAAGGAGCTCTGGTAGCGTAGTGGTCACGAATCGGGCTGCGAACCTTAAGGTCAGCGGTTCGAAACTACCAGCTGCTCTGCGGGAGAAAGATAATAAGGCTTTCTACTCCCGTAAAGATTTACACCCTCGGAAACCCCTGTACATGGTCGCTATGGGTCGGAACCGACTCGATGGCACTTAACAACAACAACTTGTGTTGCAGAGAGTTAACGTGCTTGACTACTGACCAAAAGTTTGGCTGTTCGTGTCCACTCAGAGGACCCTCAGAAGAGAAGTTTGGTGATTCCTTTAGCAAAATCAGCCATTGGAAACCTTACGTCGCACTGTTCTACTCTGATATGCACGAGGCCTTCTTGAGTCAAAATTGACACAATAACCATTTTTTAAAAAAAATTATGTAATAGAAAAGCCCTGATGGTGCAGTGGTTTAAAAGCACTTGTTTACTAACTAAAAGGTCAGTGATTCTAACCCACCAGTTGTTCTCCATGGAAGAAAAGATGGGGCAATCTGCTCCTATGAAGATTACAGCTTAGGAAATTCTATGGGGCAATGTAGGTCATCCTAAATCAGAATCTACTCAAAGGCAGACAGCAACAATAGTGGTATTTGGCCAAATACGCATTTTGTTGGTTTATATTGTGTGTATTAGTGAAGAATTTAAAGATGAAAAGGACTGTATAAGCTATCCAGACTTTCCACTTTCCTAAAGACATGGGGATCTTGAGAGTGTGTATCATTTACTTGCTCAAGATCATACAGAGAGCTAGTGACAAACAAAGGTCTGGGATACAGATGTCTTGCTTTGTAACTGTTGTTGTTGTTGTTAAGTGCCTTCGAGTTGGTTCCGACCCATAGCGACCCTCTAGGGCTCCATTTATTCTGTCTTAGAGACTTTAATTCTTGAAATGTGGCCATACCTTGAGATTTCTATTCTGCTCTTTATGCCTCTGTAAATCTCACTATCGAAAATTTGCCTTCACTGCAGGGTAGGAAAATGAATCTGTTGCCAGAAAGATCACATAATACTTTCAGCCAAATCCAGGAGTTTAGGGGTTATCATTTATTTTGGACAGTCTGTATTCTAGAATTACTCTTTTATTCACGTGAAAAATCATGTGTTAGAGAAATATGAAGTATATTTATTTATAAATGCCTACATATGCTGGACTTTAAATTGACAAATATGGCCCTTCTTCCTTTCAGCTGTTTTCCCAACTCCCCTTTAGACTTTGGCACCGTGGGGTAACCACGTGCTTGGCCATGTGAGAGGGGCTTGCTCATGCCTGTCCCTTTGTCTGAGCTTTCTGGCTGGGCTGCCTCCTCTGGGCAGCGGCAGCAGTCACTGTAATGTGGGCAAGACCATGTTGCCAAGTAGAAACATAATTCTCTTCCCTGATACACAGAGGGAGTGTGTGAAGGCTGAGGCCATGCTTGTTTTTGAAGGAGAGAGGAAGAATAACTGTCATGGTCACAAATATGTGGTTTGGAGAGTTCCCCAAGAAGCCAGAGGTAGCTGAATAAAGTAGTCAGTGTTGCTGTGCTCAACAGATCTTCTGTCTAAAGCTAAAAACATTGCAGTGAATTTCGAGGAAAAAGGGCACTTTGCTATTTGACTAACACATTAATGACATCCTTGGAAATGTCTCTGTATCATCAATGGGTAACCTACATATTTCCATTGGCAAAAGTCACATAACCCGTTGATCCAATATGGGGTTAAAGGTACAGGATTAACTATAGAACTTTTTCTGCATTCTCTTTGAAGATTAGCTAGCTACTCCTCTGACTCAGTGGCTACCCGTTATCATGTGGAAGGCTAAAAGGAGGGCTTACTATTGTTATCATTGTCATTGTTTTAAGCAACATGTAAGAGAGTGATTAATAAGATAGACTACTTTCGGTGCCCACTGTTAGCACCGTTGCATTTATGAAGCAAATCTAAAGGAAAAGACTTTTATCAGTAACTTTATTTTTATTTCTAATGAAAATGTAAGATGACATTACCTGCCCTGAGAAGACACTTAGCAATAGAAAGATAATCCACTGCAGACAGGCTACCTTTTATATACCCAAGGGAAATTGAAGCCCTGGTAGGAATGTTAGTCAAAATTGGGACTCTTTTACTACCTCTATGAGAGTGTGGTGGGTCCATAAGATTAAACACTGAACTTCGAACTGCAAGGCCTGCAGTTCAAACCTGCCAGCTGCTTTCTGGGAAACAGAAGAGCCTTTCTGCTCCTGCGAAGATTTAAAAGCTTTGGAAACCCAAAACACAGTCGCTGTGAGTTGGAACTGACTCGACGGTACATAACAACAACTACTCATATGTTCATTACTTCACCTAGCACAAAGTCTTATTTTGTCCAGAAAATTAAGTCAAATATGTACTAGGGCTACAAGATTAAAACAAAATCTGCAGAGTCCCTGAACTCAAGGGAACTCAGTCTCAAAGGATTTAAAAATACACACCCACTTCTCACTTAGCAGCAGGGCTCCTGAGAGCAGGTCATTATGTGAAAATCAGCATTATGCACATTTAGAGATCACAAATTGGAGAATGGCTCCATCATTACATAACTGCCAAATGACATCATTGCATAGCTGCCAAGCCATTGAGAATCATAGCCCACAGCCAAGTTGACATATAACCTTAACCTTGACCTTGACAACCAGTGTTACACTCACCTAGCATTCAGCTTTCATTTCTGCCAGACACACGTTGTGAATGCACAGAATAGCTGGATAGTAGATTTGTCAACTATTGTCATAAATACAAAATGTCAGGTAAAGATAGTCGATAAATGAGGAGTAGGTGTACACTTGTGAATCAACTTAATTTACAAAGCAGTGTAGAAACAAGAGCAGGATTCTGAATGGATCAAACTTTGTAAGGAGCTGGGGAAGGCTATGCAGCAAAGCAACGAACAGAGTCAAGGCTTTGGGGGAAAATTGGAAAATCTGTTGAATAAGCAATTTTGTCCAATCTGACCTTTGCAAGATCATTTTTGTTTAAAATGTACAAGAAAAGGATTCCATGGGAAAATGATGAGTTCACTGATTGCTAGGGACAGCTATATATTTAACTTCTTTTGAAATCAAGGAAAGAATTTTAAACCAAAAAACAATTCAGATTGCCAACTCAGTACAATGAGGTCCCCCTATGTGGAGCTTGATTATTAACCTAGGGGTTGGTAGTTCATATCCACCCAGCGGTACCACAGAAGAAAGACCTAGTGATGGACTTTTGTGAAGATTGCAGTCAAGATAATGTCGGGGAAGTTCTGCTCTGTAACACATGGAGTTGCCATGAGTCACAACCAAATGAATGGCAACAAGCTTGATTTGGGTTTGGGTACTCATCAGAGATACAGATGAAAAAGGAATATCTGTGAAATAATTGCTTTTGTTCTCTCCTCTTTTTGGTCTTTTCCTATATTTTCTCCCCTCTCCTCTGTCCTTGCAGGTCCTCAGCTTATATAATACTATAAATCCAGAAGCATCTGCTTCTCCTTGCTGTGTGTCCCAGGATTTAGAACCGCTAACCATCCTCTACTACATTGGCAAAACACCCAAGATTGAACAGCTTTCTAATATGATCGTGAAGTCTTGCAAATGCAGCTAAAATCCTTGAAGAGTGTCGGGGCGCTGATCACAGTGATGATGATGATGGTGACGACAATGACGATGTTGTAACAAGAAAACATAAGAGAGCCTTGGTTCATCAGTGTTAAAAAAATAAATGGAAAACGCGGTACTAGTTCAAACACTTTGAAAGTTTGTGTTTTGTTGGTTAAAACTGGCATCAGCAACAACAAAGTTGAAGACCTGATTCTACATTTCATCTACTCTGTAAGTGAGATAGACAAGAAGCAAAATCTTTTCTTTTCTTTTGTTTTTGGTTTTTTTTTTTAAGAAAAAAAAAAATAAACACTGGAAGAATTTGTTAGTTTTAACTACGTGAAAGAAGAAGAAGAAAAAAAAAATCTAAACAGGAAAATCCCGTGAAGTGGAGTTGCTGTACATACCGATCCTATCTCATGCCTCACTTGATTTTTCTGTATTGCTATGCAATAGGCCCCCTTCCCATTCTTCCTCTTAGAGATCACAGTGACTTATTTATTGTGTGTTACTATATAATGAACATTTCATTACCCTTGGAAAAATAAAACAGGTGTATAAAGTGGAGACCAAATACCTTGCCAGAAACTCATGGATGGCTTAAAGGAACTTGAAATCAAACGAGCCAGAAAAAATAAGAGGTCATGTTAATGGGATGAAAACCCAAGAGAGTTACTATATGACCAAGCAAGTCTGCATTAAGATAAAGACCCTGAAAACACATATTATGTACCAGCTGCCAAAGGAAGCTTCTTGTAAGGTTCAAAAAAGTAAAAGCCTGTTAATAAAGGAAACTTTCAGTCAGAATAAGTCTGTAAGATTTTATTCTTTCTTTTTAATTGTAAATGGTTCTTTGTCAGTTTCATAAACCAGTGAAATGTTGAAATGTTTTGACATGCACTGGCCAAACTCTGGACCTGAGAGTATTGCTGGGTAGCTTTGCTATAGGCTTCCAATCCGTCACCCACCCCACTTCATTTTGGTGTATGTAATCATACCTATAGTACTACACTAGATGGGTACAGATGTCAGCCTAATTGGAAACACATATGCAGATCTCTTTTGCAAACTATTAAATCAAAACCTTAACTACTTTACGTGTAATGTTAAAATTTCACCATATTTTAAAAATATTTTATAATGCTGTCAACTCTCATTAGATTGGACTTTATTTGGGCTTTTTAAATGATCACTCAGAATCATGTGTTTCTGTTAGTTAGCCAGTACTTTTGAGTAAAGCCCCTATATTTTGACTTGTACTACAAATACATGTTTTATAGTATTTGCTCGAGTTGTGCTTTGTGTATCGTCCATTATTATGACATGAGCTACCTGAGTCCACGTGCCCTTTTTTTATTTTCTTTTACAAAAAGGATAGATCAAATTCCTTCATCTTATAGGCATCATTACTAAGCAATTCTTACTTTAAAAGCTTTTATTGTAGGAGAGTGTGAAATGTTACTGATATGAGATAATTGAAGTGAAATGTTTGAATTGTAGCAAAAACTTAAGGATCTATCTGAAACTAAGCATCTTGGAGACAAAGGTTTCTCTAGGTAGGCTTAAATCGGTATTTTCACAAAATTCTGTGGTTATAAAAGAGAAGAAGAAGACAGTTCATAGCAAACATCTTTTGCTGTAATGAGGTTTTTAGTGTTCAGGGGAAAAAACTATGACTTGCATTTTAGTTGATTTTTTTTTTTTTAAAGGGGATTAAAATGAGGCCAGCATAAGTCATTAATTTTCTTTTATTGAAGTCACAGGTTGTTCTAGATGTTGTTTGTTTAAAGGATGAAAAAGCATAAACCAGTTTCACACTATCAAAGAGTTCTTTCTTTCCCCTGAGTGAGAGTTATCTATATCTGAGGCTAGGACTTATTGTTGTAACGAATAATTTGCCACATCAGTGCAGAGGAAGTGTTCTGTCATGATTAGTAGGATATGTTAGTTTTTCAGGTAAGTCTCTTAATTTAGCTTTAAGAGGAGGTAAAATAATGCAGTATTTTAAGGTTCACTACATAGTGAAGGGTGAATCCAGACTGAAGTTGTCTCATACAATCTGTTTTCTTTTGAAATTTCCTTATCATTCATTACAATATAAAAATTGGATTTACAAATCTGAAAACTGGAAAAGAGCAAGAGATGGTATACCACCATAGTAATCAATCCTTGTGTTGGATGTAGTTCAATCCCAGATTTGAGGGCTGGGTTTGTTTTTTTTTTTTGTGTGTGTGTGTGTGTGTGTGTGTTTTGTTTTTTCTTTTCCTCCCCTCTTCTACTTTTGCATTGGATCTGTGTAAATCACTTATATTTCTACAGGTATATTCCTTTCAGACAAGATGACATTTTGTTTTGTATTATTTTATCTTTTCTCATGAATGCACTGATAATATTTTAAATGCTCTATTTGAAGATCTCTTGAATCTTTTTTTTTTTTTTTTTTTTAATTTGGGGGCTCTATAAGGTCTTTATTTTCCTTAAGTATTGTCATGGGTGGAAAGGGAGGTGGGAGGGACGGGGGAAATGTTAGTGTGTGGTGGGGCAGGGCAGCAGTTTTTATGTGTTAAGCAGCAGTACAATTTTATGATTAGCATGTTTTAAAAAAATCGAATATAAGATTTCTTACAAGAATATAAGAATAGTTTTGTATTTTGATGACGGATTACGTTGTATTTTCACACCATGTATGTTTGTTTTTGTGGTGCTCTAGCGGTAAATAAATTATTTCAATTATATGTTCATGTGTTTTTCCTCTTGTAGATCTTTCCCTCTCCTATCACAGAGGCTAGAAAACACCTCTAATGCAATGACACTGATCTCAAGCAGGAGCGTCATTTCACCTTTAAGATGGCCTTTTGTTTTCCTTAAGGAGAGCCACTTCATAAATGTCATGGTTTATAGCTCATGAGCCAAGATCTATTCATCAAAGACTGTAGAAAATCCTGGGCAGTCTTTTTCTACTCTCTTGTTTATTGCTATTTGGTAATTGTTTGAGATTTAGTTTCCATCCAGCTTGACTGTCTACCAGAAAAAACGCAGAGATGTTTGGACCATATTTTGGCTTTCTGGTGTTATGTACTGCCAACCCCAGAGCCAAAAGAACTGGTCTAGACAGTATCCCCTGTAGCCCCATAACTTGAATATTTGCTCAGCCCGCCAGATATAACAAGAGTCACGTGCTCTTTGGAGACTGGTAGTTTGGGAGCAACTACTCTTCGTTTCACTCATCCACCACACCAAAATAACCCCCTTTTCCCTCACATTTCCTTGGCTACTACCTACAAGACCAGACTTCCCAAAGGAATGACTAGTTTCTTAATAAATAGAACTAATTTTTAAAAGTTACTGGTGGTCCAGTCTGGCTGACTTGCTTTATCTAATGAAAGAATGTCTGTGCCTATTGTGCTGTCTAACCATTACCCAGAAACAAATTCACGCTTCTGAGTAGTGTGGCTGGTACAGTCGTATCACCCCAGACCACATCACATATAATTGAGGGCTCAGAAGATAATGAAAGGAGTCACTTAACAGTTGGGGTCCTGGTGTGGCACTCTAAATTAATGCACTGGACTGCAAAGTTAATGCACAAGGTCGGTGGTTCAAGCTCACTAGTCGCTCCTCAGAAACCCTATACAGGGTCGCTATGGGTCGGAACTGACTCGACAGCACTTAACATCAACTTAATAGCTATGCTCACTTGGACAAGTTGGTCAGCTGCTCCGAGTCTATGTTTTTTACCTTTATAATTACGATAGCCATACCAGCTTTACAGAGTTCTGCCTGTTTGTGTACCCTTGTTTTTATTAAATGAGTTAATATATGAGAAGTTCTTGCATGGTTTGGGCTAGCTGTTGATGACCAATAAATGGCAGTCTTGATATTTCCCAACCTATTCTGTTTTTGGCTTCTTAGCAATCTTGTTGTAATATGCTTTTCATTTTCAGACTAAACTGGGCCCCTGCTTCTCTATCTTGATACTAAATGTATAAAACCCACAGCTCCTAAACTTATCAACTGTTCAAGACATCCATTTTTCCTTGAGTTACATATACTGTAACTCTATTTGCCAACCTTTTGGCTACAACTTAAGGTGACTGACCAGGCAGTTTTTAAAATAGAGGGAAAATGCTCATTATAAAACTTGCTTAAGTTCACCAGCTAAAATGTAAAATAAATGAGCCACAGTGGTTAGTTGAAAGAACATTAATAACACCTGCGAACCTTTCCTGTTTACCAGCACTGTTGTTTTGTTGTGAAGTGCCATGGAGTCGGTCCGACTCATATCGACCTTGTATAGTGTTTCCAAGGAACTGATGGTATGTTTGAACCGCTGACCTTGAGGTTCAAACTGAGTTTGTGGTTGAGTGCTTATCCTACAATGCCACACCTGCACTGGTTCTGTGTTAATTTGCTTAGCCACACCCTGTGATGGAGATGCTCTCCATATAACTCCATTTTGTGGGATGTGAGCAAAATCAAACTGGTTAAATTACTTTAACAAGACCACTCATCTTGTGAAGGGAGGGTTGACAACTGCACTGTCTAATGCGCTAGACACTAGTCATTGGCGGCTGTTGATCAATTGAAACACGACGAGCCTGAATTTAGATATGAGGTGAGTGTAAAATACCCACTAAATTTTGAAGATTTAGTAAAATGTAAAAGACATAAAATGTCCTAATTTTTCACAATATTGATTACATATTGAAATAATAATATTTTGGTGTGGTGCTGCAGGATAATCAACTAGACCGCAAGGTCAGTTTGAAATGCGAGGTCGGTGGTTCAAATCTACCAGCTGCACCTCAGAAACTCTAAATAGGATCGCTATTGTACTGACTCAACAGTGCTTAACAACTTTAAAATTATTAAAGTGAATTTTACCTTTTTATTTTCACTTTGTGTGGTGCTGTAGGATAAGCACTGACTGCTTACTATAAGGTTGGGGGTTCAAACCCACTAGCTGCTTCTCAGAAACCCTATACAGGGTCTGTAGGAACTGACTCAATGGCACTTCCAACAACAAAAACAACTGGAAAAAATGTAAATTATAAATGTGGCTTATAAATGTGCCCTGTGCTGTATTTTTGTTAGACAGTGCTCTTCTAGAACTTGAAAGCAACCCCATTTAGCATCAACCGTAACTATATTCCCGTAAGCTATATTACCAAACTTTGGTTGGTAATTAGCAAACGATTGAACATTATTAGATCAAACCCTGTAATATTGCTGTTTTGTAGGCCATTTGTTGAATGTTGGTAGC